CTCTTCGTCCTCCTCAGGGTAGTACTCCGGGGCCGGCGGCGCTCCAGCAGGCGCCGGAGCCGGAGCCAGCAGTCCCGCGGCACTCATGTTGCCTCTGACCGCAGCTGACCGTGTCCCCCGGAGACCGCGGCCACCCGCCCTGGAGACTCGAGGTCCGCCTAGCAACGCCTGAGGGCGGCCCCAACTTGAGGAGCCGGAGTGGCGACCCCTTTCGCGTCTCCGCCGAGCTCCGCCCCCCGCGCCCGCTCTCAGCAACGGGGACCTCGCGCCGGGGGCGACTTCCGGGTCGCGAGCTACCCGACGCCGGCCTGACTCCGCCATCCCTCAAGGCGTGAAGAGGCCACTGGACGCCTTCTTCGCCGGAACACCAGACCCTTCATCGCCGTCTTAAAATCTTCAACGGGTAGCGGGGGCAGGACGGAGGACAGCTGTCTGGAGTTAGGCAAATCCATGGGCAGGCCTAGCCGCGGCCAGGACCCCGAAGCTCAGAGGCGACTTCCGGAAACAGCCGCCAGGCGGCGTCGGGAGCCAAAACTAAAGCTTGAATCGTTAACAACCCGAAGGGCGGAGGGTTTGGAAGATTTGAAGGGCCAGTGGCAGGTGGAGGTGGTCACTTCTTTAACTTAAGCACGTGAACAAGACCCGTCCCCTTAGTAGGTCGGTAAACCTAGATATCCAGAGTGCGTGATCATGCAGGAAATGATGCTCTTCCTCTGACTGTTGAAGCTTTATTAAGAACTAAAATATAAACAAAGATGATGATATTCCATCCTGGGGTCAGCAAAACGAAATTTTCCCAGACATTGGGAATCCTTTCTGTTTGTATAGGTTTACTCAGTAAGGTGTTCTCTCGATTTTATAAATGAGGAAGGAGCTGTCATTTGCCTAAAAAATATAATAGCGTCCACTCTGCTTTGTTTAGACCCCCAGACTCAGGCCCTCCGCGGTACAACTGCCTCACATTCCCTCAAATATAAATTTTTTAAAAGCTATTTTTGCGGGTCCAATAGCTTGCTAACGAACTCTCAGCCGAGCAAGTGGAGCATTTGTCTACAGGAAGTAATTTGGCCAAAGTTAGGAATGCCGAGTAGAAAGTCAGAAAACGAGAGCTGAGTATCTGCATGAATTAATTTGTGTGATTCCTTCTGAATAAGAGGGACACCGTGTTATATGTTTTGCTTAACGACCAAGTTTTGGGTGTCCCTTTTGCTAAGTGAGTGTGATCTAGTTGTGTGTAGCAAGAAAAAATAAAGTCTGGCTGGTTAGCTCCCTTGGGACAGCATGGTGCTGATAACACCAAGGTCAAGGGTTGAGATCCCTGTACTGGCCAGCTGCCAAAAAAAAAATAAGGAAAAGAGCCCAGAAGTGTTTAATAGTTTTTCAAAGTAACCCCACTCTTTATGTTACATCCAAGTCTCCATTAGAAAAAGTAACAAGTACGGGCCGGCCCGGTGGCGCACTGGAGAGTGCGGTGCTTGGGAGTGCGGCGGCGCTCCCGCCGAGGGTTCGGATCCCATGTGGAGACCGGTTCCCGCTCACTGGCTGAGCGCGGTGCGGGCGCAACACTGAAGGTTGCGATCCCGTTGCCGGTCTCCGGTATGGGCGCGACACCGAGGGTTGCGATCCCGTTACCGGTCAGTAAAAAAAGACAAAAAGGAAAAAAAAAAGTAACAAGTGGTAAAGCTGAACACATTTGAAAGCAAGGGTGGAACCTAATATTCTGATTCTCAGACCCTTTGTGATCAAATTTATCTCTGATTTGGCCCCCATGGAGTCTTCTAAAAATGAAAAACTTTATTCTCATTCTATTTATTTTGACATTTCTTATTTACTACCTTATTTTAATTGAAATCTTGGCTCTATTTGTAAGGGATTTTTCCTCCCAACAAAACTCAAGAATTTCCAGAATGGAGTGCTACAGTGTTTTTCCAGGAGTTGAGAGATCTTCTGAAGCTCATTCTAAGTAAGAGTAATTCTCAGAGCTCACTGTAGGTCTGCCACCTACACTTAAACTAGGATTTCAGAACTGTCTCTTGTCCAAAGGATGAAGTCATTTTCTTTTTTTGTGCTGTTGGATCACATCTAAATTATTCGTAATCAACTATATTGAGCAACTTGAGTTTCTATCAGCAATAATCATAGAGCAGAAAAAGCACCAACATTTCAGAAATCAGTTCATTGATAGAATGAATCCCCCCAAAAGGTTGATTTCATTGCTAAATGGTTTCCTTTCAAGATGCTGAGGGTTTTATCATGCTTATTTCATTTCTATTTCAGTCTTTTTGATTGTAAACAGCATCTGTAAATGGTCATTCATTTCTTTTAGACACAACTAAACACCTAGGGTGGTGAAATTTTATCCCATTTTCTTTTAAATCCAGATTGCCAACTGTAGAACTGGTAGGATGAGCTCTTGACTAATAAATGCTCTTTAGTGAAGGGGCATTTACTCAAAAAAAATTCTCTCATGGCTTGAGTCTTATCAATCTTTAAAGTTGTCTAATGATCTTGGACAGTCTCTCTAGGCCTGTAAAAACCAAATTCTCTCAAAATCAAGTCTTAACACCTTGAAATCTTTCTCTTTATCCCTTCTCAGGATGGTACTCAGCCACACTCCTCAGGAGACATCCACTTCAGAACTTGACCTAAAACGAAGTCCTGCCAGTCCCATTTTACAGCTTCGCGTGCTTCCAGGCCCTCTCTGCATACCCTAACACCCAAACTTAAATTTTAAAGGGGAGCATTGTAATTGGAATGGGTGTGATTTTTAAACACTAGAGGAAACATATACTGTTTAGAATACAAATTTTGTCGCAGGAGTTAAAAACAAAGGAGTTAATGATGGAGGGTTTTTTGAGGGCTAAAGCCTGTATGCATCTGACAAGGCTTACGATCAAAATGTGTTGCCGAAATGAAACAATTTTTCACAAAATGCTAAATTGTCGAAGCCCGTGAGCTTATTTGGGGGTTCTGGTATTGCTTTAATCAACATAACCAGTTTCACAAAAATGTAAAGAATGGTTCTGAGTAACAACGATGCACTTTCACCCCTGACAGGCACTATATTTCAGCTTGGGTCAAGATGGGTCTCTGGTTATCGCAGGTTGCACTTAGGTCAAAGCTCTTTATCCTTTGACCATTAGCTCACACAGAATCTTTAAAACCTGGGGCCCTGAAAAAGGTTACGTTGAATAGGCTTGCTGAAACCTTGCTAAAGCTAGCAAGGGTTCCCTACCACAGTTCCTGTTCCTACTGTCATCGAAACCCAAACTGAATATTTCTAAAGCTTTGTTCTTCTAACTATCAAAATGTGCCTGGTCCGTGTTGAACGCTTAAGGTGTGCAGAGTATACACTTAGTACATAGTTTTTTTTCCTCCCAACAGCATTAAACTGACGTCCGTTGAACGCAATGCAAGGAAAGGCAAATTCCCTGGCAGAGATATAAAAGGGTTCAAATCCAGGAAATATTTACAAGTGCTAGGCGAATAAATGCTATATTAATCTATGGCAGAATTACTAAGAAACCTGTGTAAGGTCTAAGGAGAGAATGGAGTCCTCCCCAAAGGCTCTAACACGGTGGTCTCTGGTAGCTTCCCAAGAAAAGTAAAGGCATGGAGAGGAGTGCCAATGAACTTTGACCCCCACAGCAGCACAAACAAGAACGACCGCACCCCAGGGAAGCCCGCGGGTAACTAAAGTTGCAAGGTCTTCCCAGTCTGAGGAAACCCCGCCCCACCCGGTCCCGCCCGCCGTCAACTCCACCAATCCTCGGGCTCCATCGACCGCTCGGCTTCCCAGGCACTTTCGTCAAATACCTATATCCGGCTCCGGCCGCTTGTCCCGCGATCAGGGAAGGTCAGTAGAGAGCCTATCGGAACAGAGCTGTAGGCGTGGTCAGGGGGCAGGGGGTGGGCGAACTGAAAAGGAGAGGCGGAGCACGCTCGGCGCAGTCGGGTGCGATTGGCCACCCCTGGCAGGAGCCGCACCTCGGACAGCAGCAGCGGCGGCCGCGGGAGGGTCCCGGTGTGGCGCCCGGCGGCGGGGTCCTACGTAGAGAGTGGGTCGCAACGGGGGAACCGCGGGCGTAGGCTGCGTGCAACTGGATCCAGCACTCAGCGACCCGCCCAGAGATCCGCCAGGGGACAAGCCGCAGGAGAGCGACTCGGGAACAAGTGTGGGAGAGGAAACGGCGACGGCGGAGACGCCGGGCCCGGGAATGGTGACAGCAGGTCTGAGGTGAGAACACCGGGGCGCGGGACGGTGACAGCGTGAGCCGCGGCGAGAGGACCCCGGGCGGGGTGAGGTCGGGGAGGACCCGAGTGAGGGGAGTTCCGGGAGTGGAATTGACAGTGCGGACTTTGGAGAGGAGACCCCGAGAGGGGCCGGGATAGCGGGTGTGAAGGATGGGGACCCCGAAAGGGACCTAGACAGGGGGTGAGGGGTAGAGACCCAGGGAGGTGCTGGGACAGGGGGTCTGAGGGGAAGAGACCACGAGAGGGGCCGGGACGGAAGGTCTGAGGATTAGGGACCCCAAGAGGGGCTGGGACAGCCGGGTGCCGGGATGGGACCCCGGGCAGAGTGAGGTCGGGGAGGACCCGAGTGAGGGGAGATCCGGGAGCTGATTTGACAGTGCGTACTGTGGAGAGGGGACCCCGAGAGGGGCCGAGACTTGGGTCTGAAGAGAGGGGACCCCGAGAGGAGCCGGACAGCGGGCTGAGAGGAAGGGAACCCCAAGAGGGGCTCGGAGCTTGCGATCGAGGTGCGGGACCTCGCAGGAGGGGGCGGTGAGCCCGGTGTGCAGGGTCGGGCCGCCTGCCCTGCGCAGCATCGGACTTGCACAGAGAGGCGGGGAAACCGGCCAGCGGTCGCGCCCAGTGAGTTGTGCAAACCCCCCAGGACCTCCGCGGCAGGGAGCCTGGGTCCGGATCGCGGCGTCGGGCGGGTGGTGACGGGAGTTGCTCCCAGGATCTAGCACCAGCGATCTTCCTGAGGGCAGTGCGTGAGCTCCCGGGACTCCGGGAGGACTCGGTGGAGCCGGGATTATGTAATGAAACATCTCCTAAGTGGAACGCAAGGGCTGGAGGGGCTGGCAGAGGACCGAGATCTTGGAAAGATCAAGAGAGTTGGGCGTCTGACCTCTTCTCACTGGCCCGCTGGCTTCCGATTTCTTTCTTAAGAGTTTGATGTGGGTGCCTTGAAAGTGAGGAGCTTCCTGACCTTCATGAGAAGGTCGGGCGAAAAGTTGGAGGGGGCTTCTTCCACCCACCGCAAGAAGTTGACAGGGAAAGGGAGCCTTTGGGGAACCCGTGTTTTGGATTAATTAGGATGTTTCTTTTGATAGACCATTGTATTTTCCTGGGCTCCTATTTCTTTCATTTTAACTCGACAAAGAGCTAAGAAACTTTCAGATTTGGCAGCCCATCAGTAACAATGTTTACAATGCAGATTTAAAGGGATTATACTAGGTTTGGAATTTGGGCTGTTTAACTTTGGTGTGTTGGAGATAGTTGGAAGGTCAAACAAGTTTTAAAAAGAGGTGTTGGGAATCGCTGAACTAATACTGTAGCTCTTTCCAGTTAGATTTCTCATCCTAAAAGCTACCAGGACTGAGCTGTAGGCATAATTCCAGGACAAGCTAAGGAGAGAGATAAACCTATTTAAACCAGACACTGTATGTCCTGGTGGCAGTTGTTGGTATGTGTATTAAAATGCTGAAATAGCAATAGGGGG